CGGTGGGCACTTCGATTTTCCTATTGTGCTCACCCCCACCTACTCTTCATGGATGCAGGTTAGTATTTGCGGGCAAGGCGGAGGGATGCGAGTGGTGGTCTGATTAAATGTCATTGCTTCCGCCTTGTTTGAAATGTTGCTATTACTGCTTAATTTATTTTGAACATTGGATTATGATTGGGAGTGTTCTCCCTAATATTTATGCATTTGAGAAAACCCAGTGTTGGGAGTATGATGTTTGATGAACGCGGCTTGGGTGTTGACATGGTTATTGGACCCATTTTGGGAGATTGCATTTATGATGATTATTGAAAATGGTTTTTCTAATAGTACCGCCGCTAAAGTTTTATGAAATAAATTTTGAAAAAAATTATTCTAATTTTCGTCTAATAAAAGTGGGGCGTTACACCAACGGCCTCCGGTAAAAAAAAAAAGAATTTGCCCAACAACTTGTGTTAGAATCCTGAAGGAACTTTGTAGAAAGAGGCATAGTAGTCACTATATTATTTATATGCATATCAAACTCTTGCCTCGTAGGAGCATACGCGGCTTTCTTAAAAATCGAGAACCAATGTTTCTTATTATTAAGTGGGTAGCTCTTCAAAACCTACAAAAAAATAGTAATAATGAAACCTGCTTTATAATGAATAAACAGAATTTATAAAAATAGAAAATCTCAAAGAATGTAAACATAATGCACATTATGAATAATTAGTGAACATAATGTACATCATGAATAATAATGTAAACAGAATGTACTACTAAATGATGTTTGAATGTAAAAATAGTAGTATGATGAGTGAAAACAAAATGTACTACTAAGCTTTATTATGAATAATTAGTGATAAATTACCTGATTCTTAAAGTTGTCGACTAAGTTTCTCAAACAATAAGCATGATGGCTACCAGGAATAACAATATGGATGGCTTTTAGAAGCCCGCTGTGTCGGTCCGTAAAAAACGTGAAGCTTCTAGGAACAGGTAAGACGGAGGTAAGAAGAGTATTATTCAGCTTCAAACAAAACCACTCCCAGTTTTCATCGGTCTCGGCATCAACCTCAGGAAATGCTAAAGTGAACAAATCATCATTGGCATCCTTACTCACAACACTAAGCAAAACGCCTTTGAATTTATCTTTTATGTGAGTGCCATCCAAAAATATCAATGTTCGACAACCGGTTAAAAAACCAACAAGACAAGCACAAAAGCAAATGAACAATCGGCGGAACTTATTTTGGACATTGTCAAGCTCACAATCCGCAATGCTTCCCGGGTTTGTCTCACGCACTACAGAACAATACCATCTCAATTTATCATAAGAGCCCTTGTCTGCTCCATGAATTTCTTGCATGGCAATATCCTTCCCTGGCCTTGTCTTTTTGTAAGGCAACTCCAAGCCATAATCCCTATGAAGATCTTTCAATATCGTGCATGGTCTGTAGCTCGGTTCATCTCTCAATTTCTCCTTAATTTCATTTGAGACCCAATGAGCGTCTTCTTTTAGATGCCCCCTAGTCCGAAGATTGAACACTCCACAAGTATAGACTAAATTGCTCTTCTGGATGGCAAAGACTTGATCACCTTTGAAATTTGAGGCATAGATTCTCTATTGACAACCCTCGTCAGTACAACAAACAATGATCTTCTGTTGATCATTTTTTCGGTACTTAAAAGAACGCCTATTGCAATGGCGTAGTTTTAAATAACACCTAAATAACCTAACAATAGCACCCACCATAACCTAACAATAGCATAAATTTAGTATGGCCAATAACACCTAACATAACCTAACAATAGCATAAATTTAGTATATATGAACAAAAAAAGGATTATGATCACTTTATTTATTTTAGGGTAAATATAAACAACAATATTCAACATTTAATCCTTCACAAATCAAACAAAAATATATGAATTAAAGATGATTTTTAGACTCTAAACTTCTCATGTAATACATACATTACTTACTACTTCAAGTTTTCGCCGGAAAAAGTCACAATCTTGCCGGAAAAATAAAAATTTTCAGACAGAGAGATATAAATTTTTTGTCGGAGAAACAGGGATTTTTGGCCGGAAAAAGCCCTAATGTCGCCGGATTTGTTGCCTTCGGAAAAAGCTCCAGGGTCCGGTTTGTATTCGACGGCGAGATGAAGCTGCGAAAAAAAAATCTCACGCCGGCACTGAAGAAGAAAAAAGCGGGAAAGACTAATGAGGAAGAAGAGTGAGGAAAAAGTATTTTAGGTAGCGAAAATTAATAATGTAGATAGTGGGATGATGTCATATATAAATTTCTTTATCATTTTTTTTAATAGGAGAGATTTAAATAGAAGATGATTAGGGGGTAAGTAGTTAAAAGGAAAGAAAAATATGGGGAGAGATTGATTTGGAATTTGATTTAGGGATTGGGGATTTTTAAAGAAAGCTCCCTTGTTTTCCACTAACCATAATCTTTACAACAATATCCAATTTCACCAATTAATTACACGGAATATTTATTTTATGGCACACCTTAGTAAAACAAACAAAAAAAAAAAGATAAAAACATTTCAAACTTTTTTAGTTTTAATAATGAACTAGTACAACGTCCGTGTATTACACGGGTGTTTGCTAATTTTTTCTTAAAATCTAAAATCATGAGAAAAGGTAGTTGAAAATTTAAATATCTTTTAAAAATATTTATAGTATTATATTTGGTATGACACTTTTTATTATTATAAAGATTAATATAATTTATTTATTTTATATATACAATATGAATGTAAAATCGAAGATCATCAAATGATGATTAATTTAATATATTATATATATAAAACCGATAAGAAATACAAAAATTATCAACATTTAAAATACATTTAAAATTCAAAAGTTAATTGTAAGAAACAAATCAAAAGCCAGGGATATATTAGTCACTTAGTGACTCACTATCTAAAATTACAAAGAATAAAAGGGTTATTTTAGTACAATTGGTATTAAACTACCTAAGTTAGCTAAATAATGTTTATGAAATGTCCGAACCTAGATTATTAATTATTAGTATATAATATTATTTGTCCAAACCTAACTACGAAATGATTCTTCACTACGAAGCATGATTCTTCGCCAAGTAGGATTCCGAAGCACCAGAAGCAGCCACGTAGGCTCAGCGCATTCTTGAATAATATATAGGGAGATATATATATATATATATATGGAGGATATAACAATTGTAAAAAACATTGTTTAACATAATATTAACTACATTTTTAATTTGTTTTGAAGAATCTATCCCAACTGAGTTGCTCTCATCATCCTTCCTCGGATGCTCCTCACTCTGTACTCGTTTAAATTAATTCTATCAACAACTCGTCTTTCCGTGGCAGAGGCACTTGATTTTATTTGGTTGTCATAACTTGCATGTTCCCCACCAAACCCACATGCACCATCTCACACACTATAACACACACTATACACAGGCAGAACTCGTGTTTTCAACATTTCCTTTATCTGTAGCTTCGAGGGTTTTTTTTTTGAAATGATAGATATTATTACTCAAAAGGAAATTGTATAGAACGTGGGTTAAATAACCCAAAACTGCCACAAAGCAGATAAGAGGGACATCTAACAGAAGAGCCCTATAGCAAAACTCAAAAAACTAGGATAAGATATGTGCTATCAGCAGCATCAAAGGCACTGAATCCAATAGCATAGACCTTATCTAAGCTGCTCTCGACTACAAAAGACAACAAGCCACTGAACCAGAGGACCTAGCTAGTTGCTACAAAACGCGGACAAGAACCAACTAAAAAAACCAAAAAAAACAAACCAACACTACTATGAACACAAAACACTAATCAAGAAACAGGAAGACTATCAGAAGCACAGAATTCCCTCCATTCCCTGCAAACCATGTTCACCGCTGAATGCTCAGGCCTAATTTGCTTGTTGAAGGTGATTTGGCTCCTGGACTTCCATATACCCCATAAGATGTAAGCTGTTAGCTGGAGCCTTACTTTCGAGGTACTGGAGTTACTCACATTGCATAGTTGTGTCCACCAACCTTTAAAGCTTCCTGTATCTATGTCTTTCCCATCCCAGCATAAGGGAGAGAGTTTCCAAATAAGTTTGGCTCTTGGACAATTAAAAAACAGATGTTCTAAGTTTTCTTCAGCTTCACCACACGCATTGCAGATCGTGTCCACATCAATTCCTTTCTTGATCAAGTTGGTGTTAACCGGCAGGAGATTTGCTGAGCATTTCCAAAGAAAATGCTTGATTTTGCCTTTAATCTTGAGCTTCCAAGTTCTGCTTCTCATTTTCTTTGCTTCCACTTGCTCATTGCTTTTCTCTGCTATGTCCATGAGCTTTCATTTTTCCCCCACCAATTTAGTGTAAACATTTTTGACAGTGAGTTTGTCATTGCCACCATTATCCCAGACAAGATAATCCTCTTTGCTAGGGTCCAATCCTTTGATATTGAAGATGGCCTCACTTTCTTGCTTGGAAAAAGTTCTGAGAACTAGCTCTCTGTTCCAGTTCTTCCCTTCAGAGTCTATAAGCTCATGCACCCATGTTGGGCTGTTACTATTTAGTGAGGCTTTGTTTGGTTTGAACCTTGAAATGTTGGGAATCCACGGGTGATCTCAGATATGAATCTTCTCTCCCTTTGTTACTTTCATTCTAAGGCCATTTTGCATGGAATCTCTAACAGAAAGCCAAGAATTACACATCCATGAACAGCTAGGCTTCTTTGATGTTGTAAAGAAATTCTCCTTATGAAAGTACCTGGCCTTGAGAAGTTTTCTCACTAGTAGATTGGGCTTGGTAAGTATCCTCCAGATTTGTTTTGTAATGAGGGCTTTATTCATTAAGTGCAGGTCCATGAAGCCCAATCCCCCTTTGGTTTTTGGCAAGGTAAGCATTTTCCATGATCTTTAGTGAATGGACTTTTTGTTGGTATCTCCAGAGTTCCACCAGAATTTTGCAAAGAGTTGCACCAGTTTACTGTTGATGGCTTTAGGCACAAGGAAGAAAGACATAGCATATAAGGGTAGAGCATTAAGCACAGACCTCAATAGAACTTCTTTGCCTGCAAATGAAAGAAACTTAGTTTTCCAGTTTGAAATTCTATTTTTCACTGATTCTTCAAGGAAGGAGAAAGTTCCAATTTTGGAATTGCCAATACCCAATGGAAGGCCAAGGTATTTGGTATGGGTTTGAGCAGTGATACCAAGGAGAGTGTGGCATATTTGGGTTTGAATGCTTTGGGGTGTGTTTTTACTGAAGTATATGGCTGATTTATCCAAGTTCACTTTTTGGCCAGTGATGGATTTGTATTTGTTGAGGATCTCAAGGAGGATAATGGCTTGGTTGTTATCAGCTTAGGAGAAAACAAGGGTGTCATCTGCGAAGAAGAGGTGAGTCAGAATTGGTCCATGTTTGCAGATTTTCAAACCTTTTAAGGCACCTTTCTCTTTCTCAATTTTGAGCAAGTGGGAAAGAATTTCATAAACAAGAATAAAAATGTAAGGAGACAGTGGGTCTCCTTGTCTGATGCCTCTAGTCAGTTTAACATACCCACAGGCCGTCCCATTTACATTAAAAGAGAATGAAGCAGAAACAATGCAAGCCATAATCCACTTAACAAATTTTGCATCAAACCCCAATTTCAATAAGATAAGTCTGACACTTGACCACTCAACCCTATCAAAGGCTTTTGCCATGTCCAGTTTCAATGCCATGTAACACACTTTGCCACATCTATGCCTATTAAGAAAATGCATAACTTCTTGGGCAATGATGACATTATCGAGAATTTGCCTATCTTTAACAAAAGCTGCCTGATGCTCACTAATACACAGGGGAAGACAAGATTGTAATCTTTTAGAAAGAATCTTAGAAATGATTTTGTACACAACTCCACAGAGACTAATGGGCCTAAAATGAGAAACCAACTCTGGATTATGAATTTTAGGAAGAAGAGTAATAAGAGTGTGGTAATGCTAGTGAGAATCTGCCCAGGGTCAAAAAAGCTAAGAATGGAGGAGCATAAATCAGGACTAACAATGTTCCAAAAGAATTGAAAGAATGTGGAAGTCATACCATCCAAGCCCGGGGCTTTAGAAGGATCAATGCTGAAAAGTGCTATGTCCCCTTCTGAAATTGGTTCAAGAATGCTGGTGTTGAGCTCCTCAGCAATGACAGGACTTATATCTTGGATAAACTGAGCTCCAGTCAAATCACCTTCAGAAGTGAAGAGAGCGAAGTAGAAGTTTTCAATACAATCTGCAATGTCCTTTTGAGAGGTGATGATGGTGTTGTTTTCATCCTTCAGTCGATAGATTATGTTCTTTCTCCTCCTGTGGACAGTTTGAGCATGAAAGAACCTCGTGTTCTTATCTCATTCCTTAAGCCAATGTGCTCTTGCTTTTTTCTCCCAATACAACTCTTCCAATTTATAAGCCTCGTTGAGCTCAGCTTTGGTATCATCCCATTTCTGCCAGTCCATTAATCCTCCTTGAAATCTTAGATCAGCAAGTGTTTTTTGCAATTTATCTATTTTCCTGGCATTTTCTGATTTGAAGTTGGCACTCCATTTCAGCAATTCGATTCTGGTATTCTTAATCTTGCTTTGCAGCTGGTACATTGGTGTGCCTTGTTGGGGAGAATACCAAGCTTTCTCAACCACTTCTTTCACATCTGGTTTAAGAGTCCAGCGTTTATCGAAGTAGAATCTTTTGTGTTGCCTTTGTAAATCAGGCTGAAGGTTGAGAATGAGAATACTATGATCTGAAGAGCTTTTGAAATTGTTGGTCACCAGAGCATTGGGGAACATATTGAAGCAGCCTAAAGAACCAAAAACTCTGTCCAATTTTTCTTCTACGAAGCCCTCATCTTGCCTATTATTACCCCAAATGAATGGATGGCCTGTCATTTTGAATTCCTGCATTCCCATATCATTGATAAATTCCTTAAACTGCTGGAAGGAGGACTGCAGTCTTAGTCTTCTTCCATTTTGCTCTTCCTGACAAGTAATGTCATTGCAATCACCTCCCAGGAACCAGTTCTGCCCCCACTTGTCTTTTTCTGCCCTGAGAAAATTCCATTGCTGGCTTATAATGTTGGAATCAGCACTAACATAGAGAAATATCCCCCAACAAGGACTGACAATCTGAGGATCCCAAAATTCAACCTCGATACAAAAAGAGTGCTTAAAAATATTGATGATTTGAACCGAATTGTTCCAAAAGAGCAGCATACCACCACTAATAACAACTGGTTCCACTGAAGCCCATCTATCGCAAAAGCCTATTTTATTACATACCGTATTTACAAAAGGATCTTTTTTCTTTGTTTCAGAAAGAAAAACCAAAACTGGATGGTGAAGTCTTAGAGACTCCTTCAATTGGAAAACTGTAGAGGGTCCACCCAACCCTCTACAGTTCCACAGGAAGACCTTCATTGATCTGGGTGGGGCCATTATGGGCTGGCTTCCTTCACCCTCATCGATTGAAGCTTCTGCTTTTTGACAATGTGGTTGGTATGGTGATCCTGAGACTCTGGTTCATGATCAAATGGACATGGCAGCTGAGATTCTGTGATATTAACTTCAGACAAGGTTCTCTTGCCACTGAGAGTTTTATAATCATTTGGTATGGATGAGGATGGAGAGTTGGTAGTGGGATTTTTCCTCTTCCATCCTTTGGTTATGGTTTTTGGAGGGTCTGTTTTCACCTGAGACAGATGAGTGGGAGAGTCAATTAGGTGATTTGCTGGTGTGTTATTGCTGGTGCTATTAATCAGAGAGGTGTCGGTATCCATGGTATCAGCAAGGGGAGTTATTGGTTGGGAGTTGGTATCTGTGATTGGGTAAACCGGTTTAGCAGAGTCAGTGATATCTGCATTTTTGGAGGTTTGAGGATGGATTTCTTTTTTTTGGGAAGCTGGAATGGAACAAATGTGTTGTGCTTTATGTGGCTGGGGAGATATGGGAGTTGTAAGTAAATTGTTTGTGGCCATAGGGATTGGGTTCTGTTTAGAAATATTGCTGGTAGGGGAAGGTGGGTGGTTGTCTGTTTGATTGTTTGTGTGGGTGGATGTGTCTTGGCTGGAATTGTTGCTGGTAGGATGGGTGATAGGGTTGGATATCATATAGTAATTATAGTTGGCAGAATTGAACTCTTGGGCTTTTAGCCACTCACCAAATTGCCCTTCCATCATGCTTCCTTGTCGAATATCAGTAGCTCTTTGGTCACAGTTCTTGTCTAAGTGACCTAGCATTCCGCAATAATAACATAAGCTCAAGAGTTTTTCGTACTTGAATGCAACGAGCACCTTCCTATCTCCCTGTTTTAAGTGAGTGCAGCGAGGTATCGGTGAATTCAGGTCTAATGTTACCTTCAGCCTTAAACATTTGCCAGACAGAGGTCCTCCATGCGGAATTTGGACATCTTTAATATGCTTGAATGCTCCCCCAACTTTGCGACCAACTTTCATCGAGAACCAGTGAAGAGGGATGTTCCATGCTTGGACCCAGATGTCTAATTCTTGAAAAATCCCGTGATTTTCTGAAATATCCTTTTGCCATTCTCTCAAGACCAGATACTGATTTTCGAACACCCAGCTGATCCCTTATAACACTTTATTTTTGTCAGCTATATCAGAGAATATGAATTGGAAGTAGTTGTCCCTGATTTCTCTGATTGAAACTTGAGCCCTAATTTGCTAAATGTGACTGATTGTCCTTCTCAACCCAACTAAATGGGCTTGTTTTTTTTCCAATGATTTTCCCAAAGAGACTTCTTTGCCATTCCTCTGCCTGATTTGGTAGTCTCCTGATCTAGGTCAGCTGCTTCCGATTCTTTTTCCGATAGACGTATTGAGCTCAGTTTAGAATATGTCATCATCCATTGGAGCCTTGACCAGAATGAGACCAGCTTAAAGGGGATGAAAGAGAGGCACCTGCTATCAATCAGATCCAAATAATGTGAAGGACAAAGGAAAATAATACTGACATAAGAACAAATCGACGCGCAACTAGAAGGATGAAGAAAGCTAAACCATAGAAGAAGCGAAGGAGAAAAATAGAGTCTAATGCGGATGGGCCTGCCAATTAGAGAATCAAGCAATCTCACCGGAGATAATCGCACTCTCAGAAGAGATAATCGCACTCTCACCGGAGAGAATTAGATAATTTATTGTAGCTTCGAGGGTTTGTTTGACCTTAATCTCTCCAAGTCCTCACCAGAAACCATTGAATTAATTTCTTCACAAAGCATTAACATTCTCATTTCCTTAATTTAGACCACGACAAGTTTCATCGTCAGGTACGAAGAAGTTCTTCATCTAACTCTCTCTTTGTTTTCCACATTTGGTTTAATTAGTCTGGTTTTTGTTCTTCTTTTCTGATAGTTGTTGAATTAACATTCTAACTTTTTTGTTGAATGACTGGAATTGATTACAGATGAATAAAGCCTCATTTTTTTTTTCTTTTTTAATTTTTTTTTTAAAATTAATCTTCGAGTTTCTTTGGGCACATGATTTGGTCCGAGGTTATTTTAATTTTGTCTTTTGATACGAAAAATTGAAGTCATGCTGATGTAGTAGTAGTACTACTTCGAATTAATGTACTGATTGTGAAAATTTATGCTATGTAGTTTGGGAGAATACTACCATCCCGTTACGGGATGGTTTCGTTATGCATTTTAGCCATACATATACACATAATCTGATAATGTGTAGGTAATCCAACGCTTACAAATTATAACGGAACCATCCCGTAATGGGATGGTAGTATTCTCCTGTAGGCTTGATCTTTGATCCCAAATATGTAGAGGTCATCTTATATTGGTATTTAATGTACTCGTGCAGTGTGTTTCAGAAATTAATGAGAAGTTCTTCAAGAAAGAGTCTTTAACTTCTTATTCCACCCGAAAAAACCCGAAACTCGCTGAAAATTGGAAGTTTTTTTTACAATTAATCTTATTTAGTTGAGAAACATTAGAGAAATTAGCACTTTCTTTATTAGTCTTTAATGTAATCAATTGTGTGTTGTAGAACTTGTCTGCTATTTTTCTGTCATTTTCTATCTGTTAATTATGATACATTCTTGGTTGATAGCAGTGAGATCAACATCGTAACTTGTGAGATCAACATCGTAACTTGAAGAAGATTATTTATAATCATGAGCACCGATATGAAGAAAGCCACTGTAGAGGGTTGCGAAAATGCTTCGACCAGAGAATTAGAACAAGCAAAGGTATCTTACTTACACCTTCCAAAAATCTTTTACTAGATTTGTTTCTCATAATGTCATGTGGATATTGTAGATTGATGAGGTGAGACGGTTGATTGGGCCATTGTCCGGCAAATTGGCCCTTTATTGTTCAGATGCTTCAATTTCAAGATATTTACGCGCACCGAAGTGGAATGTGAAGAAGGCTGTTAAAATGTTGAAGGCGACCCTGAAGTGGAGACTCGAGTTCAAGCCAGAAGATATCCGCTGGGTAACTTCATTTGTTTTGAGAGTATAATGATGTGCTATTCTGGCAAGATTATTTATTTTATTTTTTCGTTTTCACTTTCTGGTGTATTTTTAATGTAGGATGATGTTGCAGCGGAAGCCGAAACAGGAAAGATTTATAGATTGAACTACAAAGATAAGTACGGGAGGCCCGTTCTGGTTATGAGACCTAGGTGCCAGGTTAAATCTCTTACTCATGCCTTTCTCATATTTCTCAGCCAAGTTCATGTTGTTAGATTTTGTCATGTCAAGCAGTTTCAGTGCTCATGGTTAACATAACCGTATCTGAAATTTATAAAAATAGCTAACAAGCAACGAATCTTGATAATCTTACGCTAACCAAGAAAAGCCACGTACTATTCAGTTTGACAAGTTACCGGCATGTGTTACTGTTTTTGTACCTCATTCTCTTGAATTTTTCTTGCTTGGGCAGAACTCAAAGTCAATAAAAGGACAAATTAAGTATTTGGTTTACTGCATGGAGAATGCAATTTTAGATCTTCCTCAAGGCCAAAAGCAGATGGTGTGGCTCATTGATTTTCACGGTTTCAATTTATCTAATATATCGATCAAGGTAACAAAGGAAACGGCCCACGTTTTGCAAGACCATTATCCAGAAAGGCTCGGTGTAGCTATCCTTTACGGCGCACCGAGGATATTTGAACCATTTTGGACGGTAATTTTCCTCGGATCATATGTTGTTCTAATTTATAATAAATGCACAAGTTGAATTGAATAGAGATATACTTATATAACAGACAATTACAACTTTATCGATAACGTAGAATGCCTATGTTTCAGGTGGCAAAGCCCTTTCTAGAGCCCAAAACAGCTAACAAGGTCATATTTGTCTACTCAGACGACCCAAACACAACCAAGATAATGCACAACTTGTTCGACATGGAACTAGTGGAATCTGCATTTGGCGGAAAAGATGATGCCGATTTCGACATCACAAAGTATGCCGAGCGGATGAGAGAGGACGACAAGAAAATCCCCTCATTTTGGAATACGGATGGTTTTCAATCCCTAACGCCATCTTCCTCTCTAACATTGCCTCTTAGTATACAAAAATCAAACTCAGAAGTAGACTCGGATGAGTTAGACTTAAGGGTGACCGAATCCTCATCACCTAAAGATGAAGCTGAGAATGATGGTGGCACATAATCTAAGAGTCCTTGCATGAGAAAATCTTGAGCTGATTATTGGAAGGTCGTGCGCTTATATAGCAAATATAACTATTTTAAACTCAATTTTAGTGGAGCGGTTTTGCTATTAAATCAACAGTTGGTTGGTTTTATAGTGAAGCCAACTTTCTATATACAATAAGTAAACCTATCATATTATCTGATTATTTAAATAATATTAATATAATTATATTAATATG